GGGGGGGGGGGTCGGGTAATGGAGGACAAAGATCAGGGGAAAGAGAGCCTATGGGAGCGGGAGGTCCCAGCTAGATCAGGAGCAGAGTGGGAGAACAGGGAGGGAGATACCATGACGAATGAAGACCCCAGGGGAATAGGAAGAAGCAGAGAGCTAGAGAGGTCTCCAGAAATCCACAAAGATACTTTCACTGTAGACTACTGGCAGTGGTCGAGAGACTGCCTAAGCTGACCTGCTCTGGTGATCAGATGGCCAAACACCCTGGCTGTCATGATAGAACTCTCATCCAGTGTCTGATGGAAGCAGATGCAGAGATCCACGGCCAAGCCCCAGGTGGAGCTCCGGGAGTCCACTTGGCGAGAGAGAGGAGGGGTTGTATGATTGAGAGATATTGAGACCATGATTGGAAAAAGCACAGGGACAAATAGCCAAACTAGTGGAAACACACGAACTGTGATCCAATAGCTGAGGAGCCCCCATGGAACCGGACCAGGCCCTCTGGATAAGTGAGACAGTTGGTTAGCTTGAAATGTTTGGGAGGCCCCCAGGCAGTGGGACTGGGACCTGTCCTTGGTGCATGAGCTGACTCTTTGGAGCCTGGGGCCTAGCCTTGGTGTAGGGAAGAAGGGCCTGGACCTGCCTAGGCTGAGTCTACCAGGCCAGGCTGACTCCCCAGGGGAGGCCTTGCCTTGGAGGAAGTGGGAATAGGGGGTGGATTGGGAGGGAGGGCTGAGGGTGGGAGGAAGGAAGACCCGGGAATCCATGGCTGATATGTGAAATTTAGTTAATTATAAAATACAAATTTTTTAAAAATAAAAAATAAAATGTTCAGCTAACTTAATAACCCCACAAGCAGGAAGGTTTACGATTCCACAGTATGTATCAGTCTCGGTAGTCTTTGATATTTCACTATAGCTTTTGCTAGATGCTACTAGATGAAGTACATACTGCATTGAGAGCCAAGCTTCCCCAGGCAGCTCCCTCCAACGTTTACAATAAAGAAGCTAAGGAAAGGAATAACACGATCTAAATAACATGATTTAAATAACATTTAAATAACCACCTGTCCAAGAAAAAAAAATTAACACTACGTGAACTTCTAACTTTTCAGCAGCCTTAACCATGTAAGCATGGCAAAGATGGGGCGCCTAGGGGGAAAAGGGAGCTCCTCCCTTGGAGGGAGAGCCTATGAGCTCAGACCCTCCGCCTCCTCTCAGAACTTTCTAGCTACAAAAACACATTGGGAGTCCCGCCCTTGGGAGTCCCGCCCACGCTGTAGCTGTCATCTGTCACTCAGCGGGGACTCTGGACCTTGTAGTCACTAGCCGCCTTTGATTTCTTCCCTTTCGGTGATGAAACCCAGGAAAAACTACCAAGCCCAGAAGGCACCGCGCGCCCCGGAGTAGGAGGAGCGGAGAGCGAGAGGGAGGGACTCGGAGGCCTCCCGGAAAGGATTCAAATTCCCAGGACTGAAATCGCGGGAGGAGCCGGCTCAGCGCCATTAGGTAGGAGAGACTGCCCCGTCCTTCCCGGGGCCGGGGCCTGAGTGCTCGATGGAGGTCAGTTGTTCGATTCTTCGGTCGGCACCGCCCTCGCAGCACATAGGGATGCGATTGCGCTCGGCCCGACCGGCTTGGGCTCCCCGAGAACCAGTCTTGCCGGTTGATGCTCTGCTCTGCTCCCCTGCTCCCAGAGACATTCATTTGACAGGAATCTAGTCTTGCCGGGCGGTGCTCTTGCTCTGCTCCCCTACTCCTAGAGACATTTGACAGGGATCTAGTCATGCCGAGCGGTGCTCTTGCTCTGCTCCCCTACTCCTAGATACATTCATTTGACAGGGATCTAGTCATGCCGGGTGATGCTCTTGCTCTGCTCCCCTACTCCCAGAGACATTTGACAGGGATCTAGTCATGCCGAGCGGTGCTCTTGCTCTGCTCCCCTACTCCCAGAGACGTTTGACAGGGATCTAGTCATGCCGGACAGTGCTCTTGCTCTGCTCCCCTACTCCCAGAGACGTTTGACAGGGATCTAGTCGTGCCGGACAGTGCTCTTGCTCTGCTCCCCTACTCCTAGAGACGTTTGACAGGAGGAGTGGGTAAAGGGGCTGGGAGATGGCCCAGAGGTTGCGAGCACTGCCCGATCTTCCCGATCTTCCGGATCTTCCCGATGACCCAGATTTACTTCCCGGCACCCACAGAGGGGGCTCGCCACTGTCTGTTCCTCCAGTTCCGGGATCCGACGCCCCGGTCTGGCTTCACTTAGTTGGGCAAGGTTGGTTCAAAAAGAAGAGGCATAAATAGGATAGTTTTCCAAGCATCCAACAGAAATGACTTAGAAGATTCCTAGTGAGCTTTTTGGGAAGATGACCTAGGAACCACAGAATGTTCACTTCAAAAACTTCTGCCTCTTGTGGAATTCCTTTGGCAGAAAGAAGCATTTTGTTCCTAATGAGAAGCTAGGAGAAACGTTTGAATAAAACGTTTTTGGAATGAAACTTCTAAAAGGAGTTTCTTTCCAAAAATGCTGCTTTGGCTTTGGTTTGTTTCAGTAGCAGGAGGGGAGGTGATTCATTGCAAATATTTAATCTTGTGTTTTTTGTCGTGTTTTGCCCACCAAGTTGCTTTCTATTTTGCAGAGCCATCTAGTGGAAGCCCCCTGTTCAGTACAGACGTCACAATTCCAATCACAACCAATTTGTATCATAAACAGCCTATCCAAAGCCAGTCACCATGATTCGGTAACTAAAAAAACTTGAGTACATCTGGAAAAGGGAATTGTTATTAGCTGAGTGAAGAGATACGTAGATGTACTTCAACTTCCTGTTGTACCCCGATTCCCTATTATAAAGGGACGCGTAAATAGTATAGACAGATTGTAGATAAACACAAATTGTCTTTATACTGAAAAGTAGCTCAAGGGTGATGTACCCAGCCATGCCTCCAAAAGTTTGCACTGTGGTCTTGGAGAATATTAGCTGAAATCAGGCTTTAAGTCCATAGCCATATGCTATTCCTAGCTGAATTATGAACTATTTAGACTATAGTTGTCACTGATAGATTCAGGGACAGTCATCCTTAGCTCAAAATTATTCACATACAATAGATTCATTTCTAAAACACTACCCTTAAAGCTTAATATACGAGACTGTGTAACTATAACCAGGATTTCATCCTCGTCCGTTTTGGCTAAATTTATGTCAAAAGCAAGCACCTGTCCATTTCATCCAAGTAATTAAACAGTCGTTATATAAATTACTAAAAATCCAGCAGGTTTGTGATTAAGTCAGATTGGAGGTGGTGAGCTCAATGTTAAAGCACCAGTTCACACACACATACTTTCAATAAATATTTGAACGTGTCCTTAAAGTAGCCATTATCACTAAACTCAGTAAATACATACACATAATGTGGAGAATCACTTCCCTTTTTTATATTAAGGAAACTTTTTCGTTCATTTTACACACCAATCAAAAATCCCCCTCTTCCCTCCTCCTGCCCACCCCAGCCTCCCCTCCCAACCCATCCCTCACTCCCACCCACGAGAAGGCAAGGCCTCCCATGGGGAGGCACATCCAATAGAAGCAGATCCAAGCCCTTCCCCGGCCTCAAGGCTGCACAAGGTGTCCCATCATAGGTAGGGGGCTCCCAAAAGCCCCCTCATGCACCAGGATGGATTCTGATCCTACCACCACCACCACCCTGCCCCCAAAACAGATCAAGCTGCACAAGTGTCTCGCCTTGCAGAGGGCCCAGGTAGGCTCCACAGCCATTGATTCAACTTTCATGAGTTCCCTTTTTTAGAGGTAATGTTTTCTGAGAGCAGCAAGAAATAGAATGTGTAGAAACAACCATATTTGCTAAAGGCGTTCAAAAAGAAGGGAACATATTTCTTGTCTCCTATAGACAATTCAGATATGCAGCCACTTGTTTAATTCACTCCGCCTGTCTATCTTCATGAAATACAACAAAGACATGGCACAGGCTCCATCTTGCAGACTGAGAGACTGAAGTCAGAAAAGTAAAGTTCTTTAAATCATATCTCAAAACTTTCTGACTCCGAATAGAACGTGCAGTTTGGTCCGAAAAGGCTGAGTGTATTTAAACTTTGCCCTGTAGGTTACATATGAAGACAGCTGGCTAAAATATCAAACTATGAAGGAAACTTCCACGAAGAACAATAATTTCAAAGTTCCTAGTACAGAATGAATTCTGCAGATGCTGAATGGGGAAGAGCATCGAGTCAAGGTGACTTTGTTGAGCGGCTGCCTCCAGAGGTCACCGTTAAAATCTTCAGCCAGCTAGACATTCAGAGTTTATGCAGAGCGTCCGAGACATGCAGGCGTTGGAATCTCACAATAAGAGACAATGATGACGTATGGAAACCTCACTGCTTGACCGCAAGAGCTGTGTGCCAAAGAGAAATAGATGATGACAGAAAAAGTGGTTATACCTGGAGGGTGAGTTTAACCTTTGCAGTTTGTTGTGGTTTGAGCGGGGTTGTTGTAGCATAGTTAAGAGAACTCTATAATTTTGCTTAGTGTACTACACAGAGTGTTGACTATAGAGAAGGTCAGAGTGGAATCATGATGTTCTCTCTACTTGCAATAGTCTCCACACTGCCTTCCCCCAAGCCTTGTATGCCTCTCAGATCCTGAAGTCAAGAACTTCCCTTGTTAAGCAGAAGGGAGGTGAAGAAGTCCATTTCATTTATTCTACCTTATGAAAACAGTATATCCAAAGGGCTGTTCTCTGCATATACACTAATCCATACAAGTGCACATGAATTTATTAATGTGATTATATGTTTATTTCCTTGTCAGTCAACTCAGTTCTGTGAATGAGTTTCTCTGCTCAGACATACTCACTGGCCAGCCACGCTGCCAGAGTTTTGAATGATGATGTTTATCCCTTTCAGGAAACATTCCTAAGAAATTACCAGAAGAGTAAAGTGAAACGTGAGTGGCTAAGTGGCAGATACAGCAACATACGTTCTCCCGAGAACCTGCCAGAAAAATCTATGTGCCCAATGGACGCAGATACATGGGGGGAAATTCTAGAAGCAGAACTGAAAAGAGAAGTTGAAAAATCGCAGTAGATCTCATGGCTTTGATGGTACATGATAAAATGACTCAGACTGCAGGAGACTTTAAAATCTGGTCATGTTTTTCTCAGCTTTTTAAAAATATCTAGCACTTAAAAGAAAACAAAGTTGAATGTGAAGCTTTGTTTGTATTTTGCACTTTGAAAAAATTTTCAGGTTTTATGCTGTGAGAAATCATGATATGTTATTTTTATAAGAAATAATAGAGTAATAGATTTTGAAATGTATTGTTTCATATATTTGTGTTAGACTATTGTATTACTTTAAGTGGTACAATTTACTGTTATTTTCTATTTAATCCTTCCAACAATTCAGGGGCTACCTGAAGAAACCTATTTAAAGACTCATTATAAATAAGTACGTTTATCTCATTTATAGCAAGTGAGATCGGTTGCAATATACGTAAAGTAATAATAAAATTGCACATTAATAACTTTACAGTTTTTACTTAAGTGGAACAGATTGAATTGTCAAATAATGAAAACTATTTTAAAATGTGTTAAACCTAAGGTTTATTTAAACTTGATCTAATCTTGGAGCTGAAACTCTTAGATTAAGATTTACATTATTTTTTACATTAGTCTCAAAGGCTGAGAATGTGTGAAAAGCTTCAGAATATTTGACAGGACAATGAGAACCACCAAAGGCTGTGTTTTCCTTAGTCAGCTGCATCCCAACACGCTGATAGCGCCACCTAGTGGACTTTTAGATGCTTCTCCTTACTTAACAAGAAAATGTGTTCTCCAAGCACTATTTGATCTTGTTAAAGTGTATCTTTGTAGGGAGAGAATCTTTTTTCAACTTTGTTTCTCTTTTTTCATAAAAGGAGATTATGTAGCGACATTCCCTCTACCAGGTTATCCCACCTGAATCTGTAAACCATAGTAAAAAGTGTCTACAAATATGGTTATTTGTATGGGGTTTCTATAGTTATTATTCCTTACCATTCTGTTGTTATGATAAAGCATCATGACCAAAAACAGCTTATGGAAGAAGGAGTTTGTTTATCTTATCGTTCCGGAGCAGGAAAAGTCCATCACTTCAAAGGAGGAAGTAGCAAGCATGGAGGCTAGAGTCTGAAGCTGAGAAATCACATCCTCAGCAAAGAGCATGAAGCAGAGATAGTCAACTAGACGTAGGGGAGGCTTTAAGCTCTCAAAGCCTTGCCCCAGTGACACTTACTTCCTCCAGCAAGGCTGCATCTCCTAAACCTCCCCAAACAGCGCTACCAACCAGAAACCAACAAGTATTGAAATACCGGAGCCCTATGTAGAACATTTCTTATCAAACTACTAGATTTTTTTAAATCTAGGAAACCAATGTTTAATAACTAACGATTTAGAAACTAAACAGCCATCAGTCAATGCCCCATCGTACACAAATTATTTTTGTTGCATCACATGGATGATTATCATCTCCTAGTATCTTAAGAGCTGGAAATGATCTTGAAAACCAGGCAGGGCAGTTTCCAGGACTATTCAGTAATTTCCCGTCAGTACACTGAGGTCTCAGAGGCCTGAGTTCAAAAACATCTGTTATAGTAATAGATTTTATATATAAATCGTAAGTCAGTACTCTCCTAGGATTGCTGCAGTCATTATAAATTCTCCTCAAAGTACAAGACCATCCATAGCCTGTGTCTGTAGTCCTGTTTCTGCCTGCTAGGACAAGACTGATCTAATCCTTCTCTTCGTTTGCTATTTGAATACTTGAAGCCAGCTGGCCTCTTCCTGTTATCTAATCTCCGTTCCTTCCCGCTGTCACATGCCATCACTTCTAGGCCAAGCAGCACTCTCAGCTGCTCATGCCCTCCTAACAAATGTGTGGTTGGGAAGGAAGCTCTCCTGCTGATTTCGTTTAGGAAGAGATCATTCAAAAGCACTTTGAAATCTTGAAAACATGGAAGTGAAGCAGTAACGTGTCTTCATGTATGACAACCACATGTCCATGTGGGTGTTGTAGGCTGTTGCCTTTTCCTGCAAATAAAGAATGCCCTAACCTGGGGGTTCACCCTTCTCACTCATGGCCGCCTCTCTGCCGCCCTCTGTGTGCAGTGTGAGACTGGAACGTGACTGAACCCACCTCCTCCTTAAGCTGGAAGACGTCACAGAGAAGTGGGTCCTTAGTCAGAGAATACACATCCAACAGAAAAACAAAGGAAGGGACAGGAGGACTGTGGTGACGGTCCAATTCAGCCAGTCCACTTGTCTGAACCCCTACAAACTGCACCAGAAACCCTGCCCTGCCCACAGGGTTTTCCTACTGTTTTCAATGTAACTGTAAAAGTATGGTTTACATTAGTATCTTGGTTTTGCACTAGGAACCCTGCCTGTAGGGCTTCCTTTGCCTATTTTTCAAGTATGTGATACTTGTAGTTTATGTTAGTATCTTTGTTTTAGAGAGCTTAGCCCTTGCTTCCTTAGTCCAGCCAGTTTTGTGTCCTGAGGTAATCCCTTGTCTCAGATGGTCTCAGCATCCATTTCCTTCTCTGTCTTCTATAACTTGTTCTTCCCACAGAAATTGAAATTGCTACTAAGGCACAAGTAACTTACTTCCTAAATGTCTTTGATACATTTTGGTTGTTAAGTTGTTTGATGCTCGGTTCTTATAATTCTTCGTTTGGAGGCAAGCATCTCATTTCTTTTTTCACTCTCTAACCAGTCTTTAAATTTCCTTCAGAGACACACCATCTATCCATTACATGTTGCTGTTCATGAAGGTTCAGACTGTGGTCCTCTTCTTACATCCTGAACATCTACTCCCCCATTATCACTACCATTGTTGGTGCTTGTGGTGTCTGCATCCATGACTCCACATCAGGTTTGCCCATTCTCTTCCAGAAACACCTGTGCCAACCTGTTGGAATCATAGCTAAGTCACTATCACCAGAACCAGAGCTTATTAAAGCAAAAGACTAGTTATTCTTTCAGCCTCTAGCCAGGAAAGTGGCCAGGGCTTCTAGGTAGTTAACACTATTTCTGCTTTTCTCATTCTGTGTCCATCCAGCCAAGAATCAGTTCTTCCTGGTTTTGTTAGCTAAATATCTGAGCAGTCCAAACCTTCTCCATATTTTCTCCTCTTCATTACGTCTTGTCTTTATTTGAAGTTGACATGGCTAAGATAACCTCCTGACTGGTACTCCTTCCTCACACTGTTGATAGATCCCCCTCCCTGAGAGCCCTCAAATGAGCATGTCCCCTCTAACTTAGATCACGTGCTACTTTCAGGTAGAGAGTGGCCCTGGAAGGCCAGGGAGGCCTTTAGTGATGCACCCTAGCTCACCCCTGTAGCCTTTTCTCTCACAGGTTTCCCTTCCGTATCTTTCAGTTCAGTCATACCCAATGGCGTTCGCAGTTACCTGGCCATGCTTGCTCCCTTGCCTCTGCCGCTGTGGGCAGGTTATGTGGGGATCGACGACACACTTTCAGGGTTCTCCCTTCCTCCACCATCAGCTCTTGACTTGGCAAGATCTTCCACCTCTAAACCATCTGAAGCTATATTGTTCTGGATCACATTATTCTTCTAAAGTTCATATATATCTTTCTTTGTAACATTCTGCTCAAAAGCCTTCACACTGTTGAGTTGTCTGTTTGTCTACCTGCCCCTATAAATCGAATTTTTTAGTGACAGGTACCATGTTTTAATTTATTTTTCTTAAATAAAATTTAGTTATTTATTGTATTATTTTTATACATATGCAGAATGTACAAGAAAAATATATTGTCATTGGATAATGTAAAGTATGTAATGTTATAGTAGCAAGTTTACTATTTGTTAGTGGATAAAGATCTATTGAAATGCAAAATATAATTGCTGGAATGTATGAGACAATGTTAAAATGTAGATGATTGTTTTAGTCATCTTTAAAGGTGTAAGTGGAGCTTAAAGTTTTTACTGTATTTTTTTAATAAACATTTGAAAATAAATTTAGTTTTAAAATATCACATCCTCATTGTCTTCTGTTATTAGCTACCCCAGTCAATTTCTAATACTACTTTTGCAGGTTAAGTACATAAACCTTAAGTCATTTTCTGTTTTGTTAAAACAGTTCTTGAATGACAAGCAACTTGACTGACGAGCTGCATGGTAAGGGCTTAAAGGGAGTACTCATTTATCAGACCAAACCGTCTGTATCTGCGAGCATGAGTGGGTGGAGCCAAAGAGGAAGGGAGGCGTGCCGCATTAGTAGATAAACCACTGTGTGAAGGAAGCAAGATTATTAACAAGAAGCTTGAAGGGTTTTTCCAGTGTTTTTCAAAAAATTCATAATAAGTTTGATTTACTATCTAAAAATAAACTTAGAAACCTTTCTCTGTTATTTCTGGTAACCCAGTCTTGGAAAATTATCAGTAGAAAAAATGCATACCTTAAGATACTTGTATATGTATAAACCTAATTTGAAGAATATAGCATATCCTCAACATTTTAACTTCCCTTTTGCTGTGACTTTGTGTTACCTGTTGTCTAAGATTTAAAATGTCCTAACATTATTAGCAAAAATAAGTTGGGTAATAACATCAAGAAACAAACAGAGAAGAGTTCATAAGGTGGGCAATCATTATTTTTATTTAAACCTAAGTTAAAATCCCTAAGATACTAAACAGATGAATGGTAGCCACCATTCCGTGGATGCCTGCTCTGTACCAGGTACTGAGTTTATGGGATGGGAACACTTAGTTCCCCTTCATTTTATGAATTCAGAGCTGAAAGAAAATGATCTTGTAGTATAGCCATTACCACTGTAAGAGTATGTGATGTATGGTGAATGTTCAAGTGAATTTGGATGATATGAATGGTTACTGCTCAAGTGAATTTTAATACTTAGAATGAGCAACTGATGAAGGACCAAGAATGTTATAGTGCCTTTATGTTTTGAAAACTTTCAAGCCCATAGGAAAGCAAACATATATATAAATATATTAATATATTATATGAGATGATGTCTATATATGTGATATATGATATAGATATCATATATCTATACAATGATGTCT